GACACAATCTCCTCCGCTACCTCGGCATCAAAGTCATGTTCAGTCATACATTGTGGCCATGGTTTCCTCCAGGCAGAGTGTAACATCTTCCCATCCTTGGTCAATGAAGTTGATGCAGTGGAGGACTTTGAAATGTTTCTTCCTACACTCTAAGACGCAAGATGTCTCTTCAGGGACATTAAAACACCTGGTGAAGAGCGCCTTTGTTTGCAGCTTTTGAAGTTTGCTCACCTTGGGGTCTATGGGTTGCAAAAGCAGTGTCCTGTTTGAGGGAAGAACTTGACTTTTATGAATTCATACTGAGCATTCATATCATATACTAAGGTTGGAGGGTGTGATGAGACATTGTACATAAGAAAGCAGCTTTCAGGCAATTGATTGTCAGAAGGATATTTCTTAACAGGCATTGTGAACACCTCATTCAGCCATTGCATGAACAATTGCCTTATAATTCACGGTTTCAAAGAGACCCTCCATGTGACAGCCAGTCTGCCTTTATTGACAGCAGGTTTCTTGAATGCATGAAGTGAGAGTGAATGGTGCACCAATACTGGTTTAACTTGCAGATGGGCATTTGCATTCACATAGAGCAAAACACTCAATCTGTCTTTCATGGGCTTGAGGCCTAGCAGTGCCTTCTCCTTCTTCATGATATAGGCACAGTTTGGCATTTTCTTCCAAAAGAGGCCTGTTTCACCACAGTTGAACACTTGTTGAGTGACGGGTCTTTCTGCCTTCACGAATTCCATAGATTTTTTTTCTGCAGCAGCCTTGTCAGAACTGGAAGCCTCGCCAAATCTTATCACACTCTGGTTGCCACTTCTCTAGCAGAATGTACCAAACTGCCTTTGAATTCATCTCCTGTTGCACTTGTAGAGGAGTTTTCTTGCAGTAAATGACTGGGCAGTTTCCTGGTTTTTTCACACACCATAGCTTTAGTAATGCTATCACCTGCCAGATGGTGCTTATTCAACCACATGAACGAAAGTTTTCCCAACTCTTCCAGCACTGTGTCCTCTGTTTGGTTAACAAAATGACTCCTTTGCCACTTCAGCTCCTTTGATGGTGTGTTTCTCCTTCAAAAAATTAAGATTGTCAACTTCACCTTGTTTACTCAAGGTCAAATCAGTGCCACAAATAACACACTCATGCTTTTCTGTGATTTCCTTCTTCAATGCAAGATTATTTGCTTCAGAACCTCCTTATAATTGTTTCTCTCCACTTCTTTCTTGTTACCTTCATTGCTGCTCTGAACATTCTCATCATTTTTACTACAACTCTACACTTGTGACGACCATGCTTAGCTATACATTCTTTGAAGCCATATTGTACTGAATAATACTGTACTCTAGTATATATGCTAAAAAACAAAACAGCTTCACATCAAGTGTGCAAAAATATGCTTGTGACCACAGTCCCTACGAGAGGAAGTCACAGACACGTATCAGACCAGGAAAGACACATGTCTATGCAAGGAAGGTGGCTGTAGTCATGTTCACCCAGCGCGTAGTTCTGGAGTGGAAGTAGAAATATGCTGAATGCTCGTGTTTGTAAATCAAGTTGTTTGCTAACAAAGCATTTGTGAACCTAGCTATTGCTTTACTAGAAATCCTTATGAGAGAAACCAGGCAAGCAAAGGAAATGAAGAATTTCCAAAATGAAAAGGAAACAAAATTCTCATTGTTGCCAGAGTGCATGAATTAACACATAGAAAAGTTACCACCATCTATTATAACTAATGAATGAACTTAGCAAATTTGCAGGATACAAATCAATATGCACTTAGCATTGTTATATTCCAATAGCAAATTATCTTAATAAAGAAATCAAGGGATCATTTACAAGAACTATGAAAGGTAATGTACCTAGGAATGAGTTTAACCAAAATGTCAGGAATCTCTACAAGGAGAATTACAACATATTGACAAAAAATTGAAGATGGCAATAGAAACAATAGAAACTATAACCTACATTATAGATTTGGAACATAACTTTTATTAAAATGTCCATATAATCTCAAGTCATCTAGAGATTGTGGCTGTCTCTACGAATACAAAAATGACATCATTCACTGAACTAGAAAAATTTATTCCAAATGGTCAAAAACATCTTTTGCATAGAAAACAACATTTTACTACTTTTTCTCACAAGATTGCAAAGTTTTAGTAATGAAAATGCTATGGTTTTGATATAAATATGACACATGAGAAAAAGAAACAATAGAATTCTAAAAGTAAATTAATAAAACTGCATTTTTGATTTTACATTATATTTGAGTTTTGACAAATATGCCCAAAACATGCATTGGAGGAAGATTAGTCTATTCAATAAATAGTACAGGAATAATTGCATATCCAATGTAAAAGAATGAAACTAGACCCATATTCCTATTCAGTTATATAATTCAGTTTACCATAGACAAAAGATTTATATGTAAGGCCCCAAACTTTGATCTACTGAATAGCATATTTTTTTTTTTTACAAACCCGGGATATCATAAGACAAATATTAAACTAATGTGATTCTGCATAACAGCAAAAAATAAAAAAAAATAATCAACCAATGGGTTAAAAAAAAAAAAACTTTGAAAAAGTAAGTATCTGCAAAGTTATAAATTTAGCAGGGATTTTATGTCCAGAATATAAAAGGCCAAGTGCATGCACCTATAATCCTAGCTACTCAAGAGCCTGAGGCAGTAATATATGTAATTCCCAGCCACACTGTTAAATATAGGAAGACATCTTCTCAAGCAAACATTTAAACAAAAATAAAAATAAAGCTCTGCAAAAAGTTCCAAAATATCAGTAGCAAAACATTCATGCAAAACAAAATCATGAAGAAATCACTTTGCAAATGGACAATAGGCCTAGAAATTTCTCAAAAGTGTTGAAAAATGTTTTTGATTAATCTTAAGGAAAGTGCAAATTAACCCCACAATTTTACCTGTGTGGGAATGCAAATGATTGACACTGGAGCTTGATGGCATAAATACAATCAAATGTTTTAGGTTTTAGTCAATGTCACGTTTCCTGATTTTATAATTCAGAATTAATATAATACTCCAAAATGTATGTTGGAAAATAAGCAATTGTAAAACTCAAAGGCCACATGTATTTCAGCAAGAGGCACAAACTTAACATATGAACAGGCACTGCAACATTTGAGGAATAGATACACTTCTGAATCACAACAGTCTATTCATTTTCATTCTGGAGAAATCTTCCATGCCATTTCTGTATCTCTACAAAAGAGACTGAATGCCTTCATGAAAAAGTAGTCCTTTTTCTGGTAAAATTGAGTGATGATACACTATGTCTGGGCTTAAGTGCTATATTTTATTTTATTTTAATTTATTTTATTTTGTCTTTTCAAGCCACTATGCAGTTCAGCCTGGAGTTGAACTCAATTTTTAAGCCAGGCTGGTGTAGAACTTGTAGTGATCCTCTTGCTTCAGCTGGGATTACAGACATGTGCCACCATGCCTGGCCACATATTTTCTTTAAATGAAAATATTTATTATTTATCCCAGTACTTTTTGATTCACATGACACATTAATCTGCCATTTAGCAATATTGTACCAATTTAAATTAATCATTTCATTTTTAAATGATTTTTGGACTCAAACCAAGTTTTTCCAAAATTAGATATAAAAATACATATTTTCTATTTCATTATTTCATTGTACCTTTAGTATCTGGAGAAGTTAGTGATATGGTTAAGTAATTGTGTAAGTTACACTTGTAAGGTAATTGTATGCGTTAGATCAATCATGGTAAAGATTGTGACGATGATTTGTACATTACCTAATGTAAATATCATGTTGTGACACACTATGAAAACAAGAGCCTTACTTTACTCCATGTAAACATAGAACATCTAAGAAAAGGCAGTTAGAAAAAAGCCAAAAAATGAAGACAAAACTATTATTGTTTTCATAATATGTAAATACAATGCATACATGTCTTATATGTATGCAGGAGTTGGTATTTCATTGATTTCAGTGGTTTGGTAATAGTTCGAGCAGGAAGAAAACCAATACAGAAATTTTCTCCAGACCAAGCAAAAGCTGTTGAAGTACTATATTTTGCAAAAGCTCTGGTTGAATTCTGAGGAAGATTTTGAAAATTCAAGTCCTTCAAATTAGTTGTCCCACAATTGTGGGCAAACACTGACTACTTTGTTCTTTGGAGCAGCTCCAGTTTGTCAAAGGGAAGAAGTTAATAGGTCTTGGAAAGAGTATTCTGTAAAGAAATAAGGAGATACCCATTGTTGAGCCTGAGAATAATTAAGAACCAAGCTGAAGAAATGATTTGGAGTGAAAATACCAAGAGATGTAATCATTTTGAAAAAGAAATAATTAGAAAAGAAGAGATAAAAAAGACCTAACTTGTGAGGAATTGAAGATTCAGAAATTAAAAAACTAAACAAGCAATAAAAGGTAAAAAGAAGCAATTAATTTTTATAAAGTTCCAGAAGATCTGTCTTCTGAATTAGACAACAGATTTGTACAGTGGACCCTTGGTTTACAAACTTAACTCCTTCTTGAGGGCTGGTTGTAAATCACATTATCAACTGAAGGTTCAGACTCCTGTATACAACCTTCAAAGTCTCTTTTCAGTACACAAGTATATGTCAGCTCCTCAGAGAGGCACCCTGGCACAGGATTTCTCAACTAACTCTATATAGGAATTGATGTTGTAATGTTCCTTTCAGAAATCTCTAAGAATTTCAGCTGTATCTGAGATTCATTTTGAAGCACAAGTGGCTGGTATTTGGGTCATAACTCAAAGATTTCATCATAAAACTGAAATTCCAGGCATCACTTGATGATTGATCATAATTTAATAATTCACATAATTCCACTGTGAATCTACAGAACGTTAAGGCAAAATTGATTATAAAAACCACATGCATCTAATTTTATTTTACTTAATTGTTAAATAATATAAATAATTTTTAAAATTGCAAAATAAGATAAAGATTAACAAATGGTTAATGGTGAAAAAGATTAACAAATGGTTCTCATAGACATCTTTTTAGAAAGACATAGGCACAAGATTCTTGATAAAATATGTTGAGCAACTTTTACCTAGTAGTTCCAAAGTAAATGAGACTTTACCTTAGGCTACAGTGCATTTCTATAATTTATCATAACCAGAAAATTTTATTTGCATGCTTTCTCTTGGATGGAAAATCTAGAATGTAAATAAAATAACGTGCAAAATAAAAGTATAATGACTGGAAAATACAAGATAAACTTTTGTATTTAGGGAAGGTGCTCAATAAACTTGGTGGATAACAAATTGAAAATGACAATATTTATTACAGGTGTGTACCAATTTTCCAAAGCAAGCATCACTATTATGTTAAATAAATATACACCAGTGGGTTTTTTGTTATTGTTGTTTTTGTTTTTGTTTCTGTATCAGGGATCAAATTCACAACCTCATGCTTGCCAGATAGTCAAATCCCCAGCCCTACTCCAGTGGCTTAAAGAGAGAAAATGATTATGAAAAATGTGCTTTGAAGTGACCTTTCTTGAGTTATGAGGAAAGCAGTCAGATTATGGATGTTTTGTTGATTATTATGACTCCAGTGATCCGGATCATTAACAGCCTCTTTGTGCTGTATATGATGAGGACAGTTCAAGGCATTGATGGTAATTGATAGGCCATCATAAAGTTGTGTGGTATATTTAAAATAGTAAGATTCAAAATAAATGTATTGCCTTTCTCTCTCAATATGGAAGTGCAAAGGAAACAGATTGGTCAAGTTGATAGGAGGTTAATGAGAAAACTTGGCCAATGAGGTTTATTTCCATTTGCACATTGGGATGATGGTAACATTCTCTTGCTTTTTCATTGGAAGCACTGCGATTTACATTCACTATCTTCCTTAGACTGTAACTGGAAATAGCAGTTTTTCCTTGAGAAACTGACAAAATGACAACATAGTTGGTGGGCTAACCATTAATCTTTCTTTAACATCTGCATGATATGATGTTGTGTACACATTTACAGAATGGAATTATACGGTAATTCCAATACCTGAAACAAGATAAATGTAGTCCAGTTAATGTGATCATGAGCTCAAGTTTAGGCTCAATCAACAGTAATTCATTGTTAAATTCTACCATTGGAGCCTCCTGGGAAAATAATAACTGTTCAAATGTTGGGGAAAAAGCTAAGTAATTACGATTTTAAATAAAATGCAAATTTTCAAACCCATGGACACTTTCTTTCTGCTTGTTATTACGTAGATAATAAATTAGGAATGACTAGGTACTAAAGTTGAGATTCTATTTTTCACCTGATCTTCATTCTTTCATTAATCTGAGCAAATTGGTATGTGAAGTCTATTGTATATGAGTTTAGTTTAATTGCAGTGAGATTCCATATGTAAGACAATTAGGACAATGGCTGACACATATTTAATTCCAAGTAAAATGTTATGTTTGTTTTGGGGACACGTGCATACTACTTCCTCTACTTTGAGTTTTGCACCTGTCAAATAAGGCTGCGAACATATTGGATACATTCAAATACTGGTAAAAGACGTTTTATATCCAAAATATTCAATCATGTAAATGTATGTGTTTAATATTGAATTAAGATGTGAAAATTTGAGGTCTGAAACTCCAAAGTAGTAATGAGTAGAGAGGATGGTTCACTTGCGATGATGATATACAAGGTTAGAATGTGTCCAAAGAGATGCTGGGGTGTAGGTCAGGCAGGAGGTCCTGAATTTGCTCTTCAACCCTAAAAAAGAAAAAAAAAAAAGAAAAAGAAAAAGTTTGATATAATCCTTATATGCACTATTTTTTCTGGGAATTATACTATTTCAACATAAACTTGAAAAACTAAGAGATTATGAATTTAATTTTCATGAATTTTCTAACATTTTTGATAAAACAGAAATCTAATGTTATTTATCTTGTTTTCAAATGAGATTTTTAAAAGCAATATTATGATTATGATTATGATTATTTGGTACCAGTGATTGAACTCATGACTTCACACTTGCCAAGCAAATGCTTGTGCCACTGAACTAAATATCCAGCCTAATAAAGCATCATTTTATAGAAAAAAAACACAATTTCAAAATAAAATAATAGAAGGATAGCAATAGTTAACTTTGCACTTAGTCTATAAAAATAAATATCCAACATGATCCACTAATTTAATCTATAACAACTTTACTCATTGAGCAAAAAATTGAAATATATACTTCCATGAATTTAATTTTTAGATTCATATAATAGCCTCCTTTTATGGAAATGTGACTTACAAATTTTTATCACATTCACTTATAAACCAAGAATATTGTTTTAAAAATTTCTTAATTTCTTTGTTAGTAGCAATTTCATAATATTTTTGTCATTTGTAAAAACAGCAATACATATATTCCTTGGTGGAATTTTCTGTCAAAATCGAATTTTTATTAGAAATGTATTATATAATTAGATGCACTTATATATTGTATAAGTGTATAATTAGATGTACTTTTGTATTTTGTTTATATAATTAGGTACACTTAAAATATAAATGTATAATTAGATATGGAGTATGAATTGTGTATCACATATATTGTTTATTTATTGTGTATTATAATATTTTAAGCACATATGTTTATATATACCTAATTTAAATTTGAAGAAACCGATTAAATTTTCATTATCATATTTTCTTTCTTGTAGTATCTTTGAGTTGTAAATATATTCATAGAAATATTGTTAATTAAAATGCCTAAATATATTTATTTATCCTGAATATTGTCAAAAATATTTCTGACTATGTCCATTATATTAGGTGAAGGTGCACAAACACAAATGAAAAGTTATCAAATTTGCATAATTCAAGTGTTTCATTTGCAAGGCTTTTGTTTTATATGAAGATATATGGTAAGAATTTAAGATTAATTTTTCCCTCGCTGATCACAAATGTCTATAAAGAAGTGAACCAGTAATCACAGCAATCATGCATTTCTTAATTTTAATGAGTAAATGTAGTATTTCCAATTTGAGTGCTTCCTGAAATATAAAATAACCATTAGGTATGGATTCGATTGATGTGAGACTGTTCAATTTTATGACTTCTTGTACTGCATAAAGTCATAGAAAACAATGTGTCATGGTTCATGTCTGAGTCCCCCAGCCCTCATGAGTTTGAATTGTGCGTTTGTTATTAGTTCATTGTCTAGTGCTTGGACTGATGGTGTCAGTGCTCTACCCACATATGGGTGGACGTAATGGTAGGAAGAAGGCGTGTCTTGCTCTTTGCTGATTCCGGCTTGCTGTTTGCAGCCACCATGAAAGGCAGCCTAGCTATGCCCAACTGTCTTGTAGCCAACTGAGTGTAAACTGAAACCTACAAAAACTGTAAGAAATAAACCTTTCCTTTCCCAACTTTGAGCTTCGGGTATTTTGTCTCAGTGACGAATAAAAAGTAACTAAGACACAATGTAAGCCTGTCTTCTAAGCAAGTGGATATAAAGCAGAGTTTGACTATACAGTTCTACACTAAGATCAAAGTTGCTTGATGACAGTAGGTGTCTTATCTGAAATATCTGCTTGCAATCTTTGTTAAAACTTTCAATACTTCAGTAGCAATATTCTAACAATGCTCTAGTCTAAAAATGTATTCACTTATTGCCTATGAGTTGAATAAGTTATTTTCAAATACAATTTTATAATTACTTTATAAGATTAAAATTACTTTGAGTCTGAAAGCTCATGTTTAATCATATTTACCTTGAAATAGTGTAAGGAAAGTTTTGAAAATAGGTTTTGTTACTAGCATAAAATAAGTTTCAATGAAAGCCTGGGGAAGACATTTTAAAGTTCTGTATTTGTGATTAGAATCTTTCATAGTACGTACTGTGAGTTTCCTGAAATGCAAACAATCACATCATCCAGGCAGATTATCTCTGAAAAGAAAAAGAAACCTAGAAATGCTGGTTAGAGAGAATAGGAATCTGGTTACAAAACACCTCTGACCTGCTAATTTTCAGGAAATTAACAGCAGCTATAGTTTACATAGGGAATACCTATTTAGTTGTTTCTTATTGGTAAGTTAGTAATTATTTCAGCACTTCTCAAAGCAGAGTACAGGAAGCAACTACATCATAAATGATGGGACAAAAGTTAAATTTGTGACTTATAGTATTAAATCATCAACAGTAAATTTCCATGTTACATCATCCAGATGAGACCTCATTAACCATTAGTACAGTAATTATGGGCTGTGCTGTCATAATTTGGTTAAAATGTTACCCCCACGCTTGTTCATTTTCCCTTTCTGATATAACATCTGTAAAGCAACCATACGCTCTTGCAAAAACTTGACGATATAGGTTTCACCACAACCTGGATCCTTAACCCTTTAAAAACAGTTTTTCCATTGGTAGGCAAAAGTGTTGAAGGACACATGTCCTAGCCTCAGTGTATTCTTAGTGGAAAAGTTAGGTGGCTTTTTAATTCTTAGAGGGAAAATACAAACAAACAAACTCCCCACCCTCCAAAAAAAAAAAAAAACTGTCCAATTACAGCACAGATAGAAGCTAATATCAAAACTATGTTTAATTTTCTTAATGGAAAAAAAAAGAATTTTACAACATTATTCTATCCTGGTGCTGGTTTTATCCTAATGGGGTGGGATATCTTGGGTATCCAGAGAAGATGCAATAAAATTGTTCACTTTGACTTCTTTTTCTCAAATCAGGGTTAGATCTAGGAAATAGTTTTGTAGCTTTGATGAAAAGTTTTAGAGAAAGTCCTTTCTGTATAATTAAAAACTCTGTAACTGAGAACTATGAACATAGCACTCTGAACCTTATTTTACTCTCTATAGCTAAATATTTTTGTTCTGTCTTTTTTGGACAGGGTCTCACTATGAAGTTTAGGCTGGTCTTAAACTCATTTTGTAGCCTAGGATGCCTCAGCCTCCAGAATGCTGGGATTTTATGCCTAAAAATGATTATTATAACAATAATTCTAACATTATGCATTGGGCAATATTTAATTTGAATGAGATATGATGAAAAGTGTCAACATTCTGCTCTAAGTAAATCTCAGGGAATATCAGGGCTGTCTTGCAAAGTTTCCCTGGAAAGGTCAAGTCCATTCCTTCCACTCAGCATGGTCTTATCTGATTCTACAGGCTGAACCATGACTTTTAAAGTGAGTAAAATATTTTCTCCCTTCCCTTCTCCATATAGTGTGTATCTAGAAAATCTGTGCAGAAGCAGTATATAAGCCCTTGAGGTGACAAACACAGTCAGGTTTGTTATATGTGACCTAATTTTATATAAGGGCTGAGGGGTTTTAACATCATCCTCAAGATATTAAAAGACATTATAGTAAGCACCTAGGAAAAGCAGATTATAACTGTTACACCTTTCCCATTCACGTATGCTCTTCTCAGTTAAGAAATTTCACTGCCACACTGCTACAAATCTCTACAATAAGAATCTAGAATTTCCCATTTCCAAGCTCCTGATTTTGTTACCTGTTACACTGATATAACTACTTTTTGAGGACAGTCATTCCATGACTTTGATTTTCTTATGTTGAAGAAAATGTTAAAAGAAGATGCATGAAATTTACTTAATTGAAGCTAAAATTAGAAAAATCAAAGCATAATAGATATTACATTCATAAATACTGCAGTATTTCAATTATAAAAATTTCAACAAAATGAAACACTAGGCAAACTCCAGTACTGATGCGTCAGTAGAGTTAACTTTCTGATATATCATGCAAAAACATTTTACAGACTATTTGAGCACACTTATCTGAAAGACTTGACCACTCAGATTCCAAAACACATTTTCTTTTTTCTGAGATACTGCTTCTGCTTAAAGTGGTGTTCAATCTGCATTTCAGATAAGAATTATTTTTGAGTGGCTCCCATTTAGTTTGAGGACTCATTGATGTTGAAAATTTCATTTGATTCATAAATGGGGACAGCTGAAAGAAACTAAATTTAGCTTTAATCACACATTGAGACAAGGACAAAGCAGCACAGATCCTAATTTCTTTGGTTCAAAAGAAACTGATGCTCATTTCAATTCATTTTAGGAAGTGACAGTGAAGACACTGCATAGACTCTTTGGGAACTTTATAGGATAATCATTCATACATACTTTCATACAGTCTTTCTATACAAAACCCAAAATGTTTGCTGAAGAGCTTTTGCTGATTATTAGAATTAAACATGTATTGGGAATCATGAAATTAAAGTGCTGTTCAGATTCTCTCTGCCTGTCTCTATCTTTTGTTTTTCATTCTCGCCCTCCTCTCTGTCTCTCTCTGTCTCTCTGTCTCTGTCTCTCTCTCTCTGTCTTACCCAATAAAATACATATTTGTAATACATAAATAGAATTTATAATTTAAAAATTTTAAAGCATATTGTTCTGTGGCATTGAATGTATTCATTTCATTTTGAAATTATTACTACTATTTGTTTCCAAAACTTACTTCTTCCCTGAAACTTTCTATCAAACCATCTCTCCAGTCTCTTTTCCTCTCAGCTCCTGGAAACCACTATATCACTTTATGTTTCTAAGACTTTCAGTGTTCTTGTAGCTTCATGTAAACTAAATCATACATTACTTATTTCTTCATGACTAATTCAGTAAGTGCAACATCTTTAAAATCACTCATGCTCATTTTTAATGGGGCTGTTTTTAGTTGTTGATAATGGCAATGTATGAGAAAATAAATACCCAAAGTAAACACAATTTGACAAATAGATGAAATGATATATTTAGATAAAATAGTTTTAAAATTTATGAAGCTTTGGAATATAAAACTAAAATATATTTTAAGTGAAAACTTACATATATTTATTAAATGATGTTCATGTCCAGAAAAATGTCTTACCTTTGGTGATTAATGGAATATATAGATGAAATGACTTTTTGAAGAAACATCTAGACAAAGAAATAAGAGCAATTAGTATTAGAGTCTTTAGAGCACGTAAGAATAGTACTTTGTTCCAAACATCCTGTTTTCAATTGAAGTACTTTAAAATACTGCTCACTAATGAAAACCCTATTCCATTTTAAATTAAACTATAACGTAAAATATGACGTCAATGAGTCCTAAGACTTATGTGTAGTATTTTCCCTGAGGATGTGATATCTGGGTAAGAACTAGTCTACTATGAAATTTATTTATGCAAAACTCATTTTTACTTACTAATATTATCAAATTTTGCTGTCATTACTATTATGTTTCTCCATCTGAAAAAAAATCCATTTGTAAATAAGAGTCTTAGAATGATATTAATTTCCTGCTTAATATTTTTCTTATTCAGATCTTTGAGAAGAATCTATTCAAGTGATGAGAGTTGCCTTGTTTTTCTGTAAGCTCCCAGTAACAATTATATAATGTATTTTTAGTGACAAAAATGATCAAGTTTGATTGTGGTTGGGGTTGTCTAATTCTGTCAATGTGCTGGAATTTACTAAATTTTAAATTTTAATTTTGTAAATTGCATGTTTTTCTTCATTAGTTTAATAAAGTTGTTATTTAAAAAAGAAACATACAACTTAAATGCATGAAAACTTGAGAGTACTCTCTGAGGATAATTGACTTTTAGCTGGAATACATATACCATAAAAACATTTATGTCCAATCCTTGTCTACCGCTTCATTGTACCATTTAGTGGTTTCTAAATCATGTACAGAAAAGATATTTGCTTTAGTAAAAAATGAATAAAATAGAACAGTGGCAACCATCTACCTTTACTGAATTTGACAAAGATCCTAATCCAAAAGGAGAGCCAGGTATATTGTCAATTTCTTAAGGGTGGTCATCAAGACTACAAGAACAGTGTAACAGCAGTGGCAGGAAATCCCAACCAGCCTGCGGGAACTTTCTCCCTGACCTGGGACCAGGCCAGTTCCCTACTGGACCGGAAACCAGGCTGGATCAGAGACTGTAGTAGCAGCAGCGGGGTGTTCTGCCCAGCCTGCAGGAACTTTCTCCCTGACGTGGGGACCAGGCCGGTTTCCTACTGGTCCAGGGACCAGGCCAGATCAGTGACTGTAGCAGCAGGGGCTGGGATTCCCACCCAATGCGGAACTTTCTTCCTGACCTGGGGACTGGGCCAGTTCCCAACCAAACAGACCTGTGAGAGGAGTGGGGGGTGGGGGCTGGGAATCCAGCCTAGCCTGAGGGGACAGTCTTCCTTGCCTGGAGACAAGGCCGTGTTTCCCTGCCAGGTCCAGTGAGTGGGGCCATCGCAGGGAACCCCATCCCAGGCTGGCAGAATTCTCTCCCACACCTGGAACAACACTTGAAGCTCCAAAATACAGGAAAATGACAAAATGAAAGATCAAAATGCAATCTCAAACATCCAGCCCATCCCAAGAAAGCCTAGGAGCCATGTGAATAGAAGAAAACACATGCCACATAACTGAAATACCTGCAATAATGGTAACTGAATAAAGAAGCAAGTATGGGAAGCCTGAAAGGAATTCAAACTAGAAATAATCTCTCAAGTAAAAGAAGAAATGATAAAAGAAATGAAGCAGATGCTAAACATAGCTAAAGAAGATGCAGTTAAAAAATTGGAGGAACTAAACAAAAGGATAGAATCCGTGGATGAACAATATAAGAAACAAACAGAATACATAAAACAGATGCAAAGAGATATACAGGAATTCAAAAACTCCATTGAAAGTTGTAAAAACTGCCTCAATGAATGTGAAGATAGAATCTCAGACCTCGAAGACAACATTGGAGTCAGTGAACAGGAAAGAAAAGATCATTTAAAAATAACAAGAAATCAGGAAATAACAACTCAACACCTAAAGGATGACGCAAAGAGAAACAAGGTTGATAAGGATAAATGAAAAAGAAGGGGACAACATAAAGGATGTCAAGAGGATATTTAGAGAAGTAATAGCTGAAAATTTCCCAAGCATGAAATTGGAAACCGACATCAGGTTCAGTGAAGCATATAGAACTCTAAATAGTCATAACCAAAATAAATCTACCCCAGACATATAATAATGACCACCCCAAAAATCGAACAAAAGAATAGAATATTAAAGGCTGTCAGAGAGAAAAGACAGATGACCTATAAAGGAAAACCTATCAGAATCACAGCAGACTTCTCATCACAAACAATAAAGTCCAGAAGAGCATGGAGTATGCATTTCAGATGCTAAAGGAAAACGATTTCCAACCTAGGCTGACGTACCCTGCAAAACTGTTCTTCAAATTCGATGGAGAAATCAGAAAGTACCATGACAAATATCAGCTGAAAAACTTCATGATCACCAAGCCAACCCTGCAAAGAATACTGAAAGACAGCATAGATACATTTAGGAAAAAACCGCTAAACAAAGCAGACAATTAAACAGAGCAGAAAGATAAACATGCAACAGCAGAAAGATGTCAACAATAAATCAATATATAACAGTTATAACCATTAATGTAAATGGCCTCAATACATCAATTAAAAGAAACAGATTGGCAGAATGGATCAAGAAACAAAATCCAACCATATGTTGCCATCTAACCCAAAAGGATACTCACAGACTGAAAGTCAAAGGATGGAAAACAGTACTTCTTGCAATAGGAGCCCCCCCAAAAAAAGCGGTGGTAGCTATTCTGTTTGCAGACAAAGTCAACATCAAGCCAATAATGATCAGAAGGGATAAAGAAGTATATTACATACGAGTTAGGGGTAAACTCCAAGAGGAAGAGATAACTATCTTGAATATATATGCACCAAACTCTAGAGCATCCAGTTATATAAAACAAGTATTAACAGAAATGAAAAACCAAATCAACAGTAACACAATTCTAACAGGAGATCTTAACACACCATTGACACCAATGGACAGACCAACAAAACAGAAAATCAACAAAGAAATAAAAGAACTGAATTGCACCTGTAAACAAACGTACTTAATAGACATGTACAGAGTATTCCACCCAACAACAACAGAATACACATTCTTCTCAACAGTACATGTGTCATTCTCTAAAATAGACCATATATTAACTCACAGAACATATTTAAATAAATGCAAAAGGGTTAAAATTATCCCTTGTATGCTATTGGACCATAGCGCTATGAAATTAGTAATTGACGATAAAAGATACTGCAAAAATCCCACAAACACTTGGAAACTGAATAATACACTCTTAAGTAATCAGTGTGTCACAGAGGAAATTAAAAAAGAAATTAAGCAATACCTACAAACAAATGAAAATATAGATACAATGCACCAGAATCTGTGAGATGCAATGAAAGCCGTCCTCAGTGGAAAATTTATTGCACTGAGTTCCCACATCATGAAAACAGGATGAATACAAATAAATAACATGATGCTACACATCAAAGAGCTAGAAAAGGAAGACCAAGTCAAGCCCAAAGCCAAAAGAAGAGAGGAAAATATAAAAATCAGAGCAGAAATCAATGCAACAGAGACTAAGAAAACAACCCAAAGAATCAACAAATCAAAAAGTTGGTTCTTTGAAAGAATAAATAAAATTGATAAGCCCCTAGCCAACCTTATTTAAAAAGGGAAGAAAGAGCTCAAATTCATGCAATAAGAAATGAAAAAGGTGAAGTCACTACAGACTCAATAGAAATAAAGAAGATCATCAACACCTATTTCGAAAAACTCTACTCTCAAAGCTTTGATAACACAGAAGAAATAGACAGATTCTTAGAAGTATATGAAGTACAAAATTATATGGTTTGTCTTAAAATACGGTATCTTCAGAATACTGAAAACTACGGATGATAAAAATCAGACTCAGGATATTTCATTTGGGAACAAGTAATCCATTGGCAGTTGGGTTTGAGACCATATGTATTATGCCTCCATCATAAAATTTGTTGATTTTTTTTCATCTCCTGAGAGAGAATCTAATTACCAGAAACTAACTGATTAGAGAAATTTTCAAAATGCCTCATTATTTGGATAGTGCCATGAGAATAGGTTATGACATTTAGTCAGTTTTATACTTAAATTGAGTGTCAAAAACCTATGTTACAAGTTTTCAGTTTCTGGAAAGAAAATTCCTGAAAAGTTGGTGCCTTTGAGAACAAGGTATCCAAAAAGACTGAATAGAAGCCAAGTAGATCAGAACAGTACAAAGAATATCCTGAAAATATGCCTCATATCATCAACTTTTACAGGGTCAAACTTTCAAAAGTAGGAAACTTACTAGGAGATGTTTGTTTCGTGGCACCCTGCTCAAAAAGGGCTGCCTAAGTTACTGACTTCCTAGATTTGCTTCTCTCTGTAGCCATGATTCAAGGTAGCCTGGCTAGTGCTCAGTCTGGCAGGAGATTTGGGTGTCTTCCACATCAAAGCTGATTTCATAAGCATGCAGAATGTAACAGTAACAGGACCATGGAGGCTTCCATTCAGTTTCAAAAGACAGAGATGTCTGGGTGTGGTCCCCCTGAGGGAGTAGTACCTAAAATTATGAGAATAAAGTTGACACTGCAGTGGTTACCCCAGGAAACTGGAGATATTGGGACCCTGGAACATCTAAGAAAACTAGCAGGCAGTGAGTAAAGCCAACCCAAGAGAGAGGTTGTGAATGGTATAATCTCCGATGCTGTAGGGACCAGGATGCCCAAATTCTCTGGAGTCCACATCTTTTCACCACACACATACTCCCAGGTATTTGATATGGAGCTGCAGAATTTACTGATTCCTCTTCTGTTTTTTGGTCTTGCTTTCATCCTGATTTTTTTATGCAATGACTTATCCTTTTTGAATGGGAATGTTTATCCTGTTCCATTATCTGTATGTAGTGTTTAGGTTTCTTCACTACTTTTCACCAGGTCTTGCAGGCACAAATTGCCCCATGTCTCAGAGGACTCTCATGGACTTGTTAGCAATGATGGAACTCTAAACACTTTGGCAACTCTTACAGAGGGACTAAATGCAT